GTCCCTGTTCCCACCACCCACGTGCTGATCAAAAACTGCATTTGCATTTCCCCTAAGCACCTTGTTTATTGGAAATGTCCCATCCATAGGACATCAAGATATCAGCAATCTTTTAAAACTAGGTTGTCTCATTAGTGGTGGCCTGGGGTTAGGGATAGTGGGGAGGGGGTATGTGCTTAGCAAGGGGTATCACGAGGGAGGTCTTTGTGGTGACAAACGGTTGTGCATCTGGGTTGTGGTGGGTGGGCTAATCTACACGTGTGATGACTTCAAATGCTGTGCCAGTGTCACTTTCCTGGGGTTCATATCGCCCTATAAGCATGTGATGAAGGTGCATCCGCTGGGGGAAAGTGGATGAAGTGTAGCTGGGACCTCTGTGAGCTTTTTTTGCAACTCTACATGATGGAATAATTATTTGAAAATGTTATTTGAAATAAGTTGTTTCAAGAATTTCCCTGCTGACTGTACTTGTGTAGAAAGGAGGCTGCATAAGTTTTCCAGTCCTGACCATGAAGGGCAGCTGTGCCCTGTCTCATACTCGGCTGACCCGCTCCTGCCCCAGGACGTCTGCTTGTCTGTGCAGCAGCTAACAAAAGAGTAAGGGGTTTGCTTCTGAGGTTTGCAACAAGGTGACAGGCAGCGCCTGGGTGGAGGCAGAAGTCCTGTGAGTTTTGATTCTAATAATAGCAAGGCGTGGACTTGTCCTTGTTGTGAGGATGCAGAGACGCAGCCCTTGTCCACTCTATGCCACTGGACACATCAGCTGCACCTGAACCCACCCTGCGAGGTAACATCCCTGCTCTGGGGGAACAACAGGGATGAGTGTAGGCTCCCCATTTGTGGCTGCAGAGGTTGGGGCAGGTGAAAATTCAGCAGCAGGCCCCTTTTCATAGCTCTCTTCATGTGAGTGGGGACAGGTAGGTGCTGCTGTCCTTTCCCAGATGAGAACACAGGTGCAAATCAACAGAGGCACTGCACCCTGGAGCAGCAGCACCATGGGAAGAGACCAGGCCAGCTGGTTTCCCCTGCCTCGTCCTCGGTGCACGGCTGCAAGAAAGGGGCCAGGGCACCAAATATGGAAGCTGCCTCCCCATCCTAGGAGCTTGGGAGGAGCCTGAGCACCAAGATCTGTCAGAAACTTAGGCAGGCGGGTGAGGGGTGGTGCTCCTGGCTCAGTTAAGTCCCAGATTAAGCAGCAGCCATCACAGGAGGCCACTGGTATAGGTCCCACTGGCTCTTGGGAGAAGCAGGTATAAGTCTATAGCCTGAAGCCGACCGTGGGTGTGGCTGAGAGGCTGAGGCTTGGGGGAGAAACGGGAGGCAGGGAGTGCTGGCTTCCATCTCAGTGTCCCGGCCAAGCTTCTCCCAGAGCCACTTCTGTGGCAGACAGTTGGGCCCCTGCTGTGGGGGGACCAGGCTGTGACATCCCCGCCTCACCCCAGTTACTGGTTCAGCTGCCAGGGAAAGGTGGCCCCTTTGAATATGCCCAGCCAGGGAACGGAACCTGTCCACCTTGTTCCACTTTTTCTCTGTAGCGAGCAGAAGGGCACCTTGGCCATGGCTAGCGCCTTCTCTCCCTCGGCCAGGAATACGGTGGATCTGCACGCTGGCCAGGGCTGGCTTCCCCAGGGCCATCCTGTCCTGCTCTCCCTGGCTGACACCACACCTCCATTGGGCCCCACCCGAAGCTTCCTTTCACCCCATTCTCCAGGGTCCCGAGTCCCTCTGCCTACTGGCTGGACCCCACAGCAGGCTGCAGTCACATGTCCGGGGGTGACAGGACAGGCCCCACCCTTGGGGAGTAAACCAGCATGTTTCTGTGTCCTGAGGCTGGAAGCACACAGCAGCCTGTTTTCGTGCCTGGAGCCCCAGGCCGGGGCTGGCCGTGTGGGAGTGTGTCAGGACTCTGGTGGCTGAAGCACCTTGGCCTGGTCCTCATCCAGGATGAGTGGGGACTGGAACTGCTGGCCTTGCAGGTACACTTCCAAACCCTAGAGACAGGCAGATCACAGCAGCCAAGTATGATCCCAGCTCTGCCAGGAGTCAGGGAGGCTTCCAGGGGCCAGGACCAGATGCCCACCCCAGGGCCACCTAAGACCCCACCAAGACCCCAGGCCAGCATGAGACCCTTGTGACAAGCTCAGGCCTGCAGGCTTGACCTAACCAGGGGGAGCAGGGGACAGGGCCACCCCCAGTCAGATGGCAGCAAAGGGCTCCGTCTCTCTCAGCAAGGTTCCCACAAAAGCCTGACTGGCTACCACTGGGCTCAGGCCTGGGTTGTCCCCCACGTGCCCCTCCTAGGACCTGCGAAGGCCTCCGGACACTTCACCCCACCCCATACCGACAAGTTCTCTGAAACTTAAGGACCCATCTACCCTGTTGACAAACTGAGGTGGAACTGTGTCTTCCCCACTCAAGCACCAACCTCTCCCCAGACAGTGCTCCCTGGATTCACACAAGCCCCGACTCCAGAAAAGCCCCAGATGGGGGTGGGGACTCTCACCTCTCCAGAGTAAGACACTAAGGGTGATATCTCACAGATGGCCGGAGGGTCTCCATGCAGGGGCGGGCTGAGGGAAGTCCAGTGTCAGCATCCGCCTCCCAGGCACCTGCCCCGGTCCTCCCAGCACCCCTCCGGACAGAAGGGGCCCAGCAGGCTAAGCTCCCTGTAGCCCCTTCTCAGAGAGCTCCTCTTTCTCTGTTCACCCCAAACCCTGAGCAAACGTCCTCCTGTGACAGGCCCTGATTTAGACTAGAAAGCACCCCCTCCCCCAGCATCCCGCACAGAGCCCAGGCAGGTGTCAGTGGTGGCTGCGGACAGTCAGGGAGATGGAAACCAAACATCCTTTTTCCTGGCCCTGAGAGCCAATCTGCCCTGCTGTCTTCTGAAAGCCATGCCTGGGGCTTGGTTCCAAAGCTTATGAATAAGTTGGGGAGGGCTCAGCCCCTTGGCTACCCCTGGATCCCTGAGCAGAACTTGAGGGGTCAGCATGCAACCTGGGGCTGGCTGGGCACATGGTCACGTGGACCTGGCGTAGTGCCGGGCAGAAGCCCCCTCCTCAGCTTGGATGAGAGCAGAGCCAGGAGGGCCCTGGGGCTGAGGATTGGGTCCCGGACAACCCTCCCCTCTGGCTGCACCTCAGGGCCCACGCTCACCTGGGCGGCTGGGGGAGCCACGCCCCATGTGTGTCCAGGAAGCGGGCCCCGGCCTGCAGAGCCCACCGGTAGTGCTGGGCAAGCAGGGCCTGCCGGGCGGTGCAGGGGCTATCCCTGCTGGCCGGGTCAGCGTTCTTTAGCGGGGAAAACTCCTCTTCCCGTAGCACTTCAAAGGCAACGAAGTTTCTGGCAGGGAAAAGAGCTGGTCACCCCATGTCCCAGCCCAGAGGCCCTGATCTGGGCAGGTGAGGGCTGGGTGGGTTTAGTGACAAAGTGAGGGTCTGTTCCCGTGAGCAGCAGGCCTAGGGAGGAGCCACACAGGCACCGAGTGGGTCTTTGTGCCTGAGATCGTGGGGATGGCCCGAGTCCACGCTCCCATTCCCAGCAGCCAAATGCCCAGACCCTGGGGCCCCAGAATGAGAACCATGTGCCCCAAGAGCTGCCCCAGCAACCCAGCCTGGAAACACCCCTAACCCTGGGTGAGGGGCAAGGGAGGGCCCAGGTGGTGGGACCACTGTCCCCCCCAAGGACTTCCACTGCCCCTGATGTTCCCTGTGCCCCCACCCCTCGGGCTGCTTCCCCTCAGGGGCAAGAGCACCCTGGCCTTCTCCCAGACCTGCCTGCCGTGCCCCGGGCTCCTCTCTGAGCCTCCACTGCCCTGCCTGGCTGGGCCTCGGAACCCACCACCAACAGGGAGGGAGGAGAGGAAGAAGTAAATGGCGTCCGCCACTAACTTAGCAAACTGGAACACATCGAACACAAACTTCTCCATCTTTATCCCGTTCGGTTTTAGCGGCTTTACCAGATTTCCCTCCTCATCCACGTAGGGGACCTTCTTCACAGCCACGTGTGGCTTCAGCAACGGCTCACATTTCCTGGGGACAGGCAGGCACAGGGGAGGAAAGGTACAGTTCAGACAGCACATCTCTGGGAGCCTTGTCCCCACCTCTGGGCACACCTGGCTGGGGGGACAGGCAGGCAGACGGACACACAGGGAACAGCAGCAGTGGAAGCCGAGCGGGACCTCCGGGGAGGGCACGGGTCTCTCCCTGCACCCCAACGCCCAGGGCCAGGCACCATCAGCCACGTCCTGCCCAGGCGGACAGAAGCTGGCAAGCCATGGGCAACGCGGCAGTCGCACAGGAGGAGAAGGGAGATTTGACCACAGAGCCTCACAGCAGCTGCCGCGAGAGCACCGCTCATGTCGGATCTCCAGCGCCTCTGTTTGTTTAAATGCAAGAACCGTTCTGCGTCCCAACCCGTCAGCTGCTCCTGACCACGGCCCGGACAGCTGAGGCCAGACTCCGGTTGCTGCAGTGGCCCAGGGCCCTCAGCCCAGTCTGGCCCCGCTGGTCGCTGGCTGGCGCAGGCCACCTGCTGCCGCACACCTGGTGACCATCTGGAGGAAGCCTCGGGTGAAGAAGTGGTTGCAGATGTTGCCTGCGTTGTAGAGCAGGCCCCCGTCAGAGGCTCGCAGCCGCGCGGTCTCAGGGCTGATCTCGCTGTACTCCACCACCTGGGGGACGCCGTCCACCTGGCACACCACGCCCACGGGTTCCTCGGGGTATGCCTTTTCCACCACCTGCAGCAGCGACCAGGGATGGGCTCCGGGAGCTGGGCGGGGCCAGTCTGGGTGGAGGGGCGGGGCCAAAGCCGGC